CAAATTTAAGTGCAGTGCATGTAACTGAGCACTACTATTCAGAGCAAACAGTTATTGCATAGAACTGAGAAGAAGGTCCAGTTTTTAAAAAGCTAAAGTGATTTCCAACTCACTTTGTTGAATGGGAAAAGGCCTCTTCAAAGCCTAAAAGAGACAAAAGAGGAGGGAGCATGACAAAATAACACCCCAGACCCTGGAGAGGGCACAAGAGGCACGGCAAAATTTTTAAAACTGAGGGACTGAGCAGATGGGCCAGGACCAAATTCTAACCTGGGTCAGTCCCAAGGTGGGTGTTTACATGGCCATCCACTGCCGTGTCATGGATCCACTTCCACCATGTCCCCATTACCTTCCTCTGCTATCACTTTTACTGAGAAGATCCCTGTTGCAGTGTCTGACATGGAAACAAGCCATCTGGCTACACCAACATGGCCAGCCCACCCCCACCCCCATGTCAGACACTGCAACGAGGGTCTTCGCAATAGAGGCCACAAGTTAAGGGGCATGCAGAGCTGTTAGTCTGCTGTTCTGATATGTGCTACGGCCCCTTTGAGCCAGGAATGGACCAGGACCACAAGATCAACATCCGATCTGTAATACAAGCAGGACGTGAGGCTGGTGGAACACAGGCCTGTGAGGACAGCCCCTGAAAGGAGACAGGGGTCTTTAGTTTAACTGAAAAGGAACACTGGACTCTTGTCTAAGAATGCCGGCAAGAGGGATGCCCCATAGGTTAGTGAATTTCTCATCACCAGCCAGAGAATGAATGAATGAATAAATAAATAAATAAATAAATACAGGGGACACACATGGTGGGATGCAACCTTCAGAGCTCTGGTTAGAGATGTGTCCCTTGGGTAGTTTCCCTTGATCATGCTATGCTTTAAATGTGGAGCATCATTTATGACAAAATGATAGTCAAAATGGTGGTCTATGGACCAGTGTTAGTCTGTGGCAAACTTTCAGGAAAGAAAAAAAGAGTTATAGTCAATGTATGCAAATATGGTACTGGTCCCTAGCATATTACAATTTTTTGGCTATTCCCTAGATCAGAAAGCCTGAGTAGAAATGATTTAAGGGACAGTATGCTGAAATGAACATCAAATGTAAGTGTGCAAACCTTTGTTCTTGACTGAACTTGCTCTTTGCAGATGAGACATTTCTTGACTCTTGGTGAACAAAGCGAACAGGTAGCAATATGTCCACATGGGCCAAATAAAGTATCTCTCTTCATATCAGAACATACCATACATTCTTCTAAAGTTTCTGAATCATTGCTGATCATAGAAGGACTTCGAGAACCAACCTGGCCACTGAACACAAACACCCATCCAGGCATTGTATTATAATATGACATACATTTTAAATAATATGGCATGCTAATTGTAACCTGACTTTATTATATCAAAGTTCATTCTGTTCTTAAAAAAATATTATTTATTCATCTGTATTGTAAATTCATAGAAATTATCAAATAGCCCTTCACTGCCAACTAACAGAAAGCACTTCACACAATGGAAACTACAGCTGCAATGGAAAAAAAAGTAAGCAGACAATATTCTTCCAGAATCAATTCTCTTACTTAGAACACTCTTGGCTCAGATAAACATGTTAGTCTGTTTCACTATAACAAGGAAAAAGTGGGGAAGGAGAGACAGAAAAGGAATCTAGCAGCACTTTTAAGATTTATTTATTTTAGCATAAGTTTTTATGGATTTCAATCTACTTCCTCAGATGTTCTGATGGATTCATTATTGAAGTCACTAGTATGTTAGCAGTTAAATGGATGTGGGGTGTGGATCGGCATACAAAAAGTTACAGAAAGATGCCAACTGTGACACTGGTCATAAGCCTTCAAAGAGTAGAGTAAGATGATAGAAGCTGGTCAAGCAGCAGGTCTGTTAAGCTTGAGGTGTTAAAGCAATACATTGCTTTTACTGAAAATCAGTTCCCTTGAAATAAGATATTTTCTGCTGAAAAGTCATTTGCTATATGTGAAGTTGGATGGGCCTGTACATTAAAAATGTCAAGAAACCATTATCTTTGTTCAAGAAACCATCATTTCTTGAACAATGTGTCAAGAAACCATTATCTCTGTTCATGCCTTGGCTAACAGATTGTAATTAGTGAATACATCCCAATTCAACTGTTTTTCTTTCCAATCTTACTTTGATTAAGCCCTGGTGGCGCAGTGGTTAAATGCCTGTACTGCAGCCACTCACTCATAGACCACAAGGTTGCGAGTTCAATACTAGCCAGAGCTCAGGCTTGACTCAGCTAAAATGAGTACCCAACTGTTGGGGGACAATGAGCTTACGGTTGTAAACCGCTTAGACATCCCATCGCGCGATATGAACGGTACATAAATGAAGCTGCTTTTGATTTTTGTTTTATTTTGTTCCATAACAGCTAGCTGAAAATCACTGTACATACAGGAAGATTCTGCCACTAGTTTTTGGGTACTGCCATTTCTAACATCAAACCTGTGTCCATTTATCCTTTTATGTAGAAACTAACCTGTTTGTCAAAAATAGACAGCAGAAGGACATGACCTACATGCCTTATAATGCAATTCTGATGTTGTAGGTGACCTTATTAGGATCATTCAACTTACTGGCAGTGTAGAATTCAACCTGTATTGCCAGACCTTCCAGATGATTAAAAGCTTGGATAAACTAAAGCAGTTCTTTCTATTGCTGTTCAACTGGTCCTAACAAAGTGCTATCCTATATTTCTTTCATGTATTGTTTCCCAAATGGTCAACATGGCTACAAAGATTTTTGAATGCTACTTACTCAAACTAGCTGACCAAAAAGTGTTAAAGCCTAGGAATTTAGGGCCTAAGCAGACTGCCAGAAATAGTGCACATTAAATTGAGGCACTGCCCTGGCTCAGTGCTAGAGAATCATGGGAACTGTAATTTATTGTGGCACCAGAGCTCTCTGACAGAGAAGGCTCAATATCTTAGAAAAAAAAATACAATTCTCATGATTCCCTAGCACTGAGCCAGGGCAGTGCCTCAATTTAATGTGCACTATTTATTTCTGGCAGTCTGCTTAGGCCTATAGTGACCTAAAGTGGCAAGAATGAATGACAAGGATTTCATGCATAAAAAATTGAATTGAGAGGACCACCATTCATTTTAACTCATAATAAGCTGTCCAGTCTAGTTAAAAAAATAGAAGAGAGTAATATGAATTTGAGTTTTGTTATAATACAAACCTGACTTTCTCTTTGTGACATTTAGCCAATGCTTTACAGAGGCTAGGATCAGGGCACAAGTCAAGTGGTGATTGACCCTTTTTATTACGAATACCAAGATCAGCTCCATTGGCTGCCAGGAAGCAGGCAATAGATGCTGCACTCTTCTTTTCTGCTCCCTGAGTACCCAGTCCCATTATCAGCTGAAAGAAAGTAAATATGCAACTTACTTTAATTTCTCTTGATGAATCCAAGAAATAACATCTTCAAGAGCCAACAAAACTCATCAGATATAACTTAACAGATATAAATGTTGTTAACAGACCACAGCACATACTACTGAAAAAGTTATTATGCTGTTAGTTCTTTTCATTCACAGATTAACTCAAACAAAAAAACAAACAAACATTAAATCTCTTTGGAGTATGTGATCTGTCATGCTGAAAGCTGCAAGCCCTTTTCCCATATAACACTTCATGAATCGCTTTCATCAAACAACAATTCTGGCATTACTCCTGTTACTACTAGCGCAATCATACTGCATTTTTTTCCTGCAATTATTTCTTCCAATTATTCTGCTTAAAACAATATAAAAAAAAAAACAGAAGCAGTGGCATCTATAATAAATAAGACCATCTGTACAAATACATACTCTCTCTCTTCCCCTAGTACATGAACATGCATATGCACATACATACAAGTACACATAGTGCATTGATTTGTTTAGTTTAGTAGAAAGCATTAAATGGAAAAGCTGCTGACTATGCAAATCATGTTTTGCCACTCTTTGTCCTGTGTATTCAAATGACATTTTTATGTACATTCTCACACGTTTATGTATGCTTTAAATATATGTATGACCATTAACAAAATCCAATTAAAGGGAAACATCTGGGTTTTTTAAAGAGCAAATCTCTTTAAATTTAATTTTCAGAAAACAGAAAGCAATCCAGAACAAAACACTGTAAAATGGAAAATAGAGAAGTAATAAATAAATTCAATATATTTACTGTGTTCTTTGATGGCTCCCAAGCTGTATCTACCTTGCCCACATCTTGCATGTCTTGGAGCTGGCGGAGTTGTGACAAGGTATGATGTCTGAGGGCTTCGTGTAGGGGAGTATCCCCATCTTTATCCTGAATGTCCAGCTTAGCACCTGCACGGACTAGGAGCTAAGAAGAAATAAATAATCCAACAGTTTTAAAAATTCCTTTTCCAGAGAACCATGGGCAAGCTACAGCCAAAGTGAAAAATAGCACACAGCTTTGCTGGACAGAACAGGTATTAGTATCCTCACTTATTTTCATCTTAAAATATATATGTGGGGCCTTATGCTAGCTACTAAATTGCATCAAGACAGCTACAATTGAAAAGAAGTGAGAGATGTATTAATATAAGAATGGCAATGTCAATATAATATTAGAACACTGACAAACTTTGCATCTTACAATGCTACAGTACAGATAGCTTCTGTTCAAAGTTCCAGCCACTCTACGTTTGCTCTCACCTACTTGCCCTGGTTTTCCAGTTCTCTCTCCAGACAGTGTTCCATGCTCACTGAACATCCTCAGACTCTGCTGGGTTGCTTTTTCCATCTAGATTCTGCCTCTCACCTTCAACATGTTGAGTGGGTCAGGCATACTAGTGCCCCACCTCTTCTCCATTTGAATAGTGAATGTCTCAATTGATTTCTATCGACAGCTTATAGTTCTCCAGGGGACATTGAAAACTAGCTTCTCACTGTGCATCTTACTGGAGGCTATCCAGACAAATTGGGTTTCTCTAATCTTTTGCTAAGTGGCAGTGTGGTGTCGTGGCTTGAATGTTGGACTATAACTCTGGAGATCAGGGTTCAATTCCCTGTTCGACCATGGAATACCACTGGGTGACCCTGGGTAAGTAACACACTTTTAGTCCCAGAAAATCTCATGATAGGGTCACTTTGGGGTCTCCATAAGTCAGAAAAGACTTGAAGGGCACAACAAAATCTTTTGTTAGCTGTGTGACTCTTCTACTTTTCAAACCAATCACTCCATTTCTCTTCCTATATTCCCTGAAGATTTCCATTACCAGCCAGCATTCTGTGGTCACTAGTCCATATCCTACCCAATATCCTCATAGAACAATTTTCTTCTAACGTTATTGTACTACTGCAAACCACAGGGCTACTAGAAATCTACAGATTATCCTTGTTCCCCCCACTGTGCATGGGAGAACTGATTAGGGCAGGGGTAGGCAACCTTTTTGAGACCTGGGCCAGTCTCCCGTAACCCAGGTCTCGGCTGGGCCGAGGTGGAGTGGAATGGTGGCACACGCGCGCTCTGCCGACGCGCACAACCCCCCCACGCATGCGGCTGCCGCGGCCACAACCGCCATTTTGATTTCCAAAATGCCGGTCGCAGTGTGCACAGCCGCACAGCGGCAAAAATGCACAACAGCGGCGGCGGCGGCAACCTTCGGCCTGGGACGGTAAGTCCAGGGACCTGGGCCTTAACCGGCCCCTGGGCCGTAGGTTGCCGGTCCCTGGATTAGGGTGTGAAGGGTTTTCAAGAAAAATAGTTTTCACTATTTATATTGTATCACATTATATACAACGTATATACTAGAATGAATAATGAACAGAGCTTCAATTAGTTCAATTAATAAATATTTCTGCTTCTGCCTTCCTCAGTTGCTTAAAGCACAAGTTTAACTTATAAACTAAACTATTAAGTTCTATTTGTTAATAATTTTAATAAACAAATATTTTTAGTGACTGATTCCATCCTTTTAGGATCCAGAACTAACTTATGAGAAGTGCTTCTTGTTCATTCTTAAATCACACACACATCCAGCTAAATGGGTAGCATATATCTGAATAGATTTTAACCATAATATTGAGTAGAGAAATAGGACTGAGTCTGTTTCTTAAATGGATCATAGTATACACATGGTATGCTTTCAGAAATAAAAGAGAAATGCTATCATCTAATGCTTCACTCAGAAGAAATATGCTGTAAACTAAAATGTAAAAACTTATGATATAATATAGGCATCTTACCCGCACTATTTGGGTATGCTGTCGTTCAACAGCAAGATGCAGCGCAGTCTGTTGGTTTACGTTCTGGATATCCAAGTTAGCATTTCCCTGAAAGAGAGATCCTCATTATTACTGTTACAATCATCCTTATCATTTTTGTAAAAACAAACTAAATAAACCACAACTGGATTTCTTTTTAGAATACTCATGGGAAAAGGTAGCAGGCAGTGACAGAGAAGAGATTAATTTCATTGTTTCCCCAAAACTATCTGAAAACTAAAGCTGTATTTTAATTTACTGAACTAAATTTACAGAATCAAATTATTTTTATCCGCATATTTTAAACTAAGGATGTCAATCATGTAGCTCTCCAAATGTTACCAAATGGCAACTCCCATGAGCCCTAGTATGGTGAAGAATGGTGTAAGCTGCCATTCAACTATATCTGAAGGAGACTACAATTAATGTTCAGTTTTTTTTACATGGAAACAGGATTAAGACCTAAATCCAACTATCAGTTAGAATTAAAATAATCCATGAATGAAATGGGATCTTGGTAACTGAACATGTAGGTAAATTTCAATGACTCAATGTGTCTACTCTGATTTAATGTGTCTACTAAGAGAGCCCTGGTGGTGCAATGGTTAAATGCCAGTACTGCAGCCACAAGGTTGTGAATTCAAACCAGGCAGGGCCCCAAGGTCCACTCAGCCTTCCATCCTTTTGTAGGTTGGTAAAATGAGTACCCAGCTTGTTGGGGTTAACTGGCTTACACACTGTAAACTGCTTAGGGAGTGCTAGTTCACTGAGAAGCGGTATAGAAATGCACTTGCTATTGTTATTGCTATATACTCTAGCTGGAACTATTGATTAGATTTAAGCATCTATCTTCTCTGGGTTGTAAAACCCAGTATTTATCTAACAAATATCAATTTATCAATGTAGTGTGATATTTTTCACAGTTCATGTTAACACCAATACAATTTAGACACAAATATATTATTTTAGCAAGCCAAGTGAACATAACTCCTCCTCCTCGGTCACTACCAGCTGAATGGGCTTCTTAAGACTGTCTAGTTCAGTGATTCCCAAACTTTGGTCCTCCATGGGTTTTGGATTTCATTTCCCAGAAGCCACAGCCACCTTAGCCAACAGTCAGGAATTATGGGAGCTGAAGTCCAAAACATCTGGAGGACAAGAAATTGGGAACCACTGGTCTAGTTCAACACTAAGAAACTTAAGGAAACTACTTTTGGATGTCAAGCTTACCAAATGCATAATTTAAGCTGAACAAGAGAAAAATTAGTTTTGGTTTCAAAAATAGAGAGGTTTTGTACTTCTTGTGAGGCTAACTAGCCTGTGCAAGACTAACCAAACTTATTCAAATAACATTCACCATAAAGCTCTTAGTAAAAACATTTTAGCAAGTTCAATGCTACATTTCCACCTCAAAAACATACTGAGGTCACCCTGTTTGCAGAAGCAGCAAATTGAGTAGTTCACAAGGAGTCAAGTACTGTAGCCACTGAGAATGCCATGCATCTGTGCTTGTAAAGCACCTTTATTTACTTTGCAACCTCAGTCATAAAATAAGTGAATAAACAATGGGAAATGTTGTACTATTAGGTATTAGGTTTATAATTAAAAATCAGTGCCACTGTTATAACAATGTGATGCCCTGGTGGGGAAGTGGTTAAATGCCTGTACTGCAACCACTCACTCACAAAACACAAGGTTGCGAGTTCAATACCAGCCAGGGGCTCAGGGTCGACTCAGACTAACATCCTTTTGAGGTCGCTAAAATTAGTACCTAGCTTGTTGGGGGCAATTAGCTTACACATTATGAACTGCTTAGGGGGTGCTTAAGTGCACTGATAAGTGGTATAGAAATGTACTTGCTATTGCTATTGATGCACAAAATTAACATCTGTCATATCAGAAATGGTGGGCATACAAAACACATTTCAGATTTCAACTCTAACAAACCAAACAATATAATCTCCAATCTACAATCTTTAATTAAACAGACCAGGTAGTAAGCAATGAGAAAGTCAGCTCACAAATATCTTAGAGTCAATGACAAACCAGGTAAGATGGGCTAGATATATTAAGTAAATGCAGTTGTTTCTGTCCGTATAACTAAAAAAAATAGGCCTGAAACAGATGGGCCAAATAAAGTGGCTTCTGAATGCTTTTGGGGTGTGGTGTTTAAATGATGCACACCCCCAAAGCAGCTGGAAGCCGTGCCGAGGCCAGCTGCCAGTTTGGGACCATGGCAGTGGCCTACTTCATGCATTTAGCACCATATGTAAGCATCTACCCCAATCAGGTAATTGTTTTCATGACAAAATATTAGCAAAAACTTTTTACCTGATGTACCAGGAGTTCTGCTACTTCTACATGATTATTAAGTGCAGCTAAATGTAAGGCAGTATAGCCATCATCTTTTTTCTCATCCACAATCCATGGCCTTGGGAGTTTGGAGAGCAACACTCGCATTGCACTGAAACACATAAAACATAGTACTATTGTCCAGTATTATTTTTTAGTAGAGCCAAAATCAAAGCACAAAACTCCAAAGCCAAGCACAAAATTCAGGGTATAAAAAAACTCTTCTTTTCTATTTATGACTGTACAAAAACTAGTCACAAAGTTACTTTAAACCAAACATGCAAAATTGTATTTACTAATTTTTATCAGTCGAACTCAATGAGAACAGGGTTAAAGGAGCCATAATTTATTAAAGAAATTAACAAGCCTGGATCAGATGTGGTTTGACTCAGGCCTGCATCCTTCTGTGGTCGCTAAAATGAGTACCCAGCTGTTGGGGGGCAATGAGCTTACAGCTGTAAACTGCTTAGATACCGCATAGTACGGTATGAAGCAGTATATAAATGAAGCTGCTTTGCTAATCAAAATAGTGCTGCAATATCTCTTTATGTACTTCTGGTTGTATGAAATAATTATTTTAGCAACCATCAATAAGCATTAATTCTAAAGCACATTTACAGCAACATAATTTTGGATTATAATCAGATATTTCTATTATACCATAATTTTAAGATTTGTTTCTATTTTAAACACTGTCCTGAATCTCAGTTTCTACTTTTCTTTATTCTTGTCTCTGATATCATGATTTCATGTTCACAAATGATGTCTATGCACAGATGTACCACTTGGTGTGCTTCAATCTGCCAGACTGACATTACATACCCATTTCCCATTCTGTACAAGGTTTAATGGAAAATGTGAAGTATATCTAATGTAGTTGCACAAGTTTTTACTTAATTTAAAATGGGGAAATATGTTGGCATTTTCCATTTTTTCCTTTTAAAACAAATCTGAAGTATTCACACTACTTTCTAAATACAACTTTCTCTGCTTCCTAATCCTCTTTCATAACATATTATGGAATATAATACTTTAATTACAACACAAGGGGCTGTTTGGGTTTAATATCAGAAAGGATTGGTGGTGCCTCATATTTACTTAAATACATTTATACTGCAGCATACTTTTTAAGGTAGTTTATAGATCATACAAAAGAGATAAATTGATGCAAACAAAAGAAGAAGAAAAACAAATATTCAAAACGTATCAAGAAAGTAATGAACTTCTGAGGAAATAATATTTTAAAATATTTCACAGGGGATTCAACTGAATTTTCTTCACCCTCTCCTATGAACAATAATCTGCTTTTGACCACACACTTCCCCCAGTCATCAGTCATCCCAGAAACTGAGATGTATGATCACAAGAAGGCTGCAACATCCAACTGGAATTCAACTTTAAGTGATTGCAATATGACTTTTTGTTCAGGTTAAATAAATAAAAAAATCTCAGCCACCTAGA